GCCCGCGACCCCCGCGGCGCGTTTGTTCCGCGCCCGATCCGCTTCTTCCCTGCGCTCGAATCGCAGCGCGTAACAGCGGGTAGGTAGAAAATGGTGGCCTCGTTAAAAGCCGCGGACCACCGGCCGCAAGCCCTTTTAGAACGTCATTTCGTCGCGTTTATCGGCCGCCTCTTTCCGCAATTACTTTTTGTGCCGAACCGAATCGAGCAACAGCCTTATACCTATACGTGACGACAGTGGCGTCCATCTTATTTTTTTCCACCGACTCTCCGAGGAAGATGAGCTAAAAATATAGCATCTAATGCCTAGATCGCGTTTTGGAGAAGAAAAAAACGCGAAGCTTGTAACATCCCTTATAAAATTAATTAATCCGAATGCCTTTGAACCGACCTGATTTATATTTTCACTTTACTTTTTGTATTCGTCAAACAACTACGCATCTAACCTCTAGATAAGAATTAAAAATATAGCAGTTAACGCTAGATCACGTTTTGGAAAAAAAAAACGCGAAACTTGTAATATGCCTTATAAAATTAATTAATCCGAATGCCTTTGAACCGACCCGATTTTAAATTCTCGCTTTATTTTTCGTATTCGCCAAACAACTACGCACCTAACCTCTGGATAAGAACTAAAAATATAGCAGTTAACGCTAGATCACGTTTTGGAGAAAAAGAAACGCGAAGCTTATAATATTCCTTATAAAATTAATTAATCCTTTGAACCGACTCGATTTTAAATTCTCACTTTACTTTTCGTATTCGCCAAACAACTACANGTATTCGCCAAACAACTACGCACCTAACCTTTGGATAAGAACTAAAAATATAGCAGTTAACGCTAGATCACGTTTTGGAAAAAAAGAAACACAAAGCTTATAATATTCCTTATAAAATTAATTAATCCTTTGAACCGATTCGATTTTAAATTCTCGCTTTATTTTTCGTATTCGCCAAACAACTACGCACATAACCTCTGGATAAGAGTTAAAAATATAGCAGCTAACGCCTAGAATGTTTTGGAGAAAAAAAAAAGGCGAAGCTTGTAACATCCCTTATAAAATTAATTAATCCGAATGTTTTTCCGATTCGATTTATATTTTCACTTTATTTTTCGTATTCGCCAAATAACTACGCACTTAACCTCTAGATAAGAACTAAAAATATGTTTTGGAGAAAAAAAAAACGCGAAGCTTATAATATTATAAAGTTTCTAATATCTTTTATAAAATTAATTAATCCGAATACTTCTGAACCGACCCGATTTTAAATTCTCACTTTACTTTTCGTATTCGTCATACAACTACGCACCTAACCTCTAAATAAAAACTAAAAATATAGCAGTTAACGCCTAGATTACGTTTTGGAGAAGAAAGAAACGTGAAACTTATAATATCTCTTATAAAATTAATCCGAATACTTTTGAACCGATTTTAAATTCTCGCTTTACCTTTCGTATTCGCCAAACAACTACGCACATAACCTCTGGATAAGAGATCGAGGAGATTTATTCAAAGAATCGGGACGGTTCTAAAAAATAACCAGGCATTCCGTGATCGAAGAGCAAAAGAAAACTATCTATTTAATTATCGCCTTCCGCGATTAAAATTTCATTCACTTTTCCCCCCTCTCCTTCCACCACACACGACACACGACACACAACACACGATACACACACAC